ATCCAGCCTAAAGCTCTTCGATCAAACGAAAAGCGTAAAGTGCGTGCAACGCTGAGAAATGTAAACAAGCCTTTCGTCAGGAATGGACGCACCAAATTCGCTTACGGCCTCCGTCACTTAGGTGAGAATGCGAAGCTTCGCGGTGCGTTTTGTCTTCAATAAAGCACACACACACAGAATTTGGCAACGCAGAAACTCGTTCGCGTGTGCGTATTTCTGTGCCTCACGGTGTGAGGTATTTCACCGCATCAGCATACAGTGGTGCAAACCGCTGTCACCAATTCCATTCCTGCGTGGGCAATTCATGACAAATAAAAATAGGCTAGATTGTGCTGCTGGGAGTCAGCTATCATTTCGATACCGGGTCGAAATTCAAATTTTTTTGGAATTTCGAAGGAATTTAATGCTGCACTGTATCCCGAAAAAAAACCCTGAAGTTGAGGGTCTATTCTGTAGTAAATTTGCTAGACATCAAAAGTTCGGAAATTGTTGCCCCACATAAGCAACTATCCTCTTACGACAACAAAAAGTAAGACTAACGAATAAGGGCCAAACTGGTCTGTCGAGAAAATGAAGAATCCGGTGTTATGGCAGGCGGCGGCATAACATTTTGCTGTGGGTAAAATTCATGCATAAAATTTCATCCACTAGGCTTCTAGATACATGTAACTGGCTTGACTAATCGTATCTGAATGACCCGTTATTCGCGTCAGTTTGCACTGATAGCTAAGGAATGCCCAATTTGCCCGAAAGCTATTTATTTATTGAAGTTTGCCTGATAGAGAATTCAAGTGTGTTGATTCTCTTCATTGCTGATGATGTCGTCTATTGCTTCTTTCATCAATGAACTCGAACTCCCTTCAATAATTACGGAAATGAGGACTCACAAATTTAATAAACCTTTTTATTCTTAATATTTTCATAGGGTTTCCGATGTAAGCTTACGGGACCCAGTCGAGATAGATGGTAAACGTACAATCGACTACTTAAGAGTATTTTGATGTCGCAATTGAATGAGACGCCTGGGTGTCGCATCGATCACGTCGGATTTTAATTTATTAGCCAAACAACAACCAGGTAGATGCTTGTTTGTTGAGTAAGCATAACAAATCGTAATAGAGTGAATGATTAAACAGCGAAATGGCAAAAGTTAATTATGCAAGTTAGGCGTCATATGCAACGAACGCACTCTTCAGATTGATAAAAAAGCGTCCACTGTTAATAATTTATTACTCGGCGTTGGCCATTCCGCAATTTACCACCGTTCCCCTAAACGCTAAGAGGCAGGTTCCGCAAGAAATAGCTGCGGAGAGGCAAGCTCTGTCGCTGGTACAAAATATTTGCTCTCCTGATGCCGTAGTCACGGAGACTGGAGGCGGCAAAAACAAAAAAGTACAATAGATAGCCTATCATATGGAATGCTGATGGAAATTCTGAAATGTTAATAGAAGCGAAGAGGCTAGTTGCAGGAAATAGTCGCGACGGATGAGACGCGATCGCCGAAACAAGGGCTTTATTAGCCTGACGTTTCGGATTTGCACTCAAATCCATCATTGTAGACAGAGTCAAATAAGGGTGGTAGATTGCCCAAGTGTTGCAGTATTTATAGGACGTATTTGGCAGCCCTCGACTGCATCACGGCTCGACTGGTCAGGTGTCGAAATATGTGGTTGATATGCGCCCGTACGCTGACACGGTTATCGTCTTCCCTGCTTCTCGCACGCGCTCGAGTTGCTGACTGCTGGATTTTTCCCTCCGTGTGGACTCTTGGACGATTTGGCTAGCCGACATTGATACCAGTAACAGTGGTCATCCGCACTTTGCCTAGGCAAAGTCTCAGCGCCAAATATGGAGGCGGGAGGTTGTTGCGCTTGCTGACTGATTGAGGACAGGAAAACCATGACTCGAGTGGTTCGCGGCTCACGCAGTTGTTGCTTCAGCAAAAATTTATGCCTCGTTAAACTTGAATGTGTGGTTGGGTTTCGTTGAATCAGCCGCGACTTGGAAGCTGGCATCGTTCCTCCTCCCTGCTGATGCTTGCTCAGCCGTCTGCGTCCAGACTAGTCTCCCGGTTTCTCCAGTATAGAGGCTTTGCTCACAACTGTGCAGGACCCTCTAAGCGACTCCAGATGTTTGTTGCTGTGGCAGTGGGTCTTCCGCCAACCGTGAAAGGCATGCAGAGGCCTAATAACCACATTCTGTAAGTACTGCAACACCTAGGAAATCCACAGTTCTCATCTAGCTCTGCCTCTGATGATGAATTCAGTCCACAGTTCTCATCTAGCTGTGCCTCTGATGATGAATTCAGTAGAGAATCCGAAACATCAGGTTAATGAAGCTCTTGTTCCAGTGGTCATGTCTCCTTCTTCGCGATTCTGAAATGCGTCTCCAGTTGAAAAGGATTATTTGGGTGGGATTTGAATATTGGCTATTTTGAGGAGCAATCCTAAGATATTTTGATCACGACAGGATGCCAAAACCGAACTCCGTATAAGATGACTGTTTAATTCGCGCGGATTCTTCTCAGTGATCTTCTATGTCTTTGCAAATTCAAATATATTTCGCGGAAAGCATGCACGATAAGGTTCTTTCGTTTGCGCACTTGGTATGAACATGCCTGTCTAGATTTTATGTTCAGAAGAAGAGCTTCTTTGGGTTTTAGAAGGATTCTTCAATTCTAGAATAGTTCTGAGCCGGACTTGCAGTTGCCCTCGCGCCTAGGGTTTCCGGACTGCATACTTTTAGTGTAAGTGAAATCTTACATTTCTCTACCCTGTAAGAAGGGGTTATCTAGGGCTCATAATATTCTGCAATGAATGTCGACCAGTTTGTACTTAGAATCGATCAAGGGACAGATACAATGCTGTATGAACGGCCATTTCGCGGTATTTTAAACTCGCGGTTGCAAACTATTCTGAAAACTTTCTTCAGGTAAGAAAACTGAAGACGTAATTTGTTGCACATGAGAGAATTTTCTCGTGCATGTTTTCAATAAACAGTCTGAATTCATAACAGCATCAAAAACCAACAGGAAAACGCATACTGAACAAGTAGCCATTTATTACCGGGCATTGTTCTCGAAGGCGATCGGAAAGAAACTCACCCAAGAACTGGCGTCCTGGCGTGACTTAGATGTATTTGGATTATAATGAATTTTAGTCAGCATCACAACCCTACCCGAGCAATCTTCTCTAGTCAAAAACAAATTACCGAATGATGTTAACAGTCCACGAGATAGGTCAGTTACCGTAATGCCGTATTTGCAGGCTGTACGTGTGCTAAACTCGCCTTTCTGCTCCCAGCGGACTACAACTTTACCGTGATGGAACCACGAGAGGACCCACATTCGCTCATGGGGTGCGTTGGGCTGTAATGCTAGTTCGACCGTCGTGCCCGACGAGGTCCAACGTGTGCTTTACAGCAGAGTGAAGTAGGCAGGATAATTTGCGCGTGAATTAATTTATAGTGGATTTAGACTTGCGCTGCATCAACCCCACTCTCTCCTTCTCCTCCCCCACCTGCGCTCGGTGTCATGACATAGTCAAGAAGGCCGAAGGCAGGCGAGGACGCAGGTGTATGGCACGGTTGAGTCCGCACCTTGGCGCTCCAACCCACACGCCTGGTCCACAACAAGCACTCGATCAGGATTCTAACCAATGACAACAGGAGTAAAACGGGTCAAAAAGACGATGAGAATGACTGGGCAGTCATGCTCACGACCTGCATATTCATCGGGAGCGCAATCACATCTACCGGCAGGGAACCAGTTGCCATAGGACTGCCAGCACACACCAGGCTGCGAGGACCATGGTTTGCTAATCATGGCACAGCAGGTGCTTAAAGACCTTTGGGGTGACACGCTGCCCTGCATTTGCCTAGAGCATTACCCTTTCTTATTACACGTTGAGCATTATGCGATTGCCTCCGATGATTATAGACCAGATTTCTAAGGAAGAACTTAATCCTTGAATGACCCTTGAACGCGACCTGGAATCTCTCACTATCTGTCAATATTTGGGCTATCCATTCTGCAGTCCTGAGTCAGCTGTTGAATTGGCGATGCTTCTCTTCTACTATAAAGGCCGTTCCAGGGTTAGGGCGTCGAAGTGAAAACACCTACTATAAATTGATGGGGACTGAGGACAGTGCTATCAGGACATGACAGTTCGACCGTCGTGTCGACGATGCCCACCGTGTGCTCACAGCAAAGTGAGGTAGGCACGATGATTTGCGCGTGAATTAGTTTTATAGAGAGAGTAGACTTGCGTAACATCCACCGCACTCTCTTCCCCTCCCATCCTGTGCCCGGTGTCATGACATAGTCGAGAAGACCGGAGGCTGGGAGGGCGCGGCCGAACCCGCACATTGGCGCTCCACTCCATGCCCCCTGGTCCATAACAAGCACTTGACCAGGATTTTGACCAACAACAACAGAAAACACACGAATGAGTAGGCAGCAATGTACACGACCTGTATACCCCGCGGGAGCGCAAACGCATCTACCGTCAAAGAACCATGTACCGGAAAACTAACAGCGCTCAACAGGCTGCGAGGGCCATAGTTTGCTGATCACGGCATAACAGACGCTCACAAACCTTGGAGCCCATAAGGGTGACGCACAGCCCTGCATTTGCCCGGGCCATCACCCTTGGAAGGCTGGCTAACCAATCAGTAGGCGACTGAAAGGCACAACCCTTAAAGTACACAAACACCCCTCATATGCGTGAAAGAGTCACGGATCCCCCTTAAGAAGGAGCCGTATCAGCCTGGCCTTTGGCTCCCCAGTCCGCCATTCCACACAAAAACACACGGACTGAGTTGAGGGGTAAGTAGGCAGCCTTCTAAGCCGCAGCACTTGGCGTACCGTGATAGTCTCAGACTCGGATCGCACATGCAGCATATGCAGCCGAGAAGGGCACTCGCCACTTGCGTGGGATGTCAGAATCGAGTGCTTGCGATGGCGGTGTTCTTGTGTTGTGGAGGTGGTGGTGGGGCCATTGTTAGGCATAGGCACTGATGAGAATGGCGAAGTTGAACCTTCGGAGAGGCAGACTCATCAGTCGGTCGTTGATACCCTGCAGGAGACAGGGCAGTCGTCCTACGATTTCGCTCTGGATGGCAAAGGCGACGCCCGCGTCTCGTCGCTCTGCCCTAGGGCGGCCGCTCCAGAGGAAGTTATAACCGGAACCCATCTCCTCCAGTTGGCCTTGTTCGGAGAAGCGGGTCTCGCTGAGAGCAGCGATGCCCACTTTATAGTGCGCCAGTCCCCAAGCGCTAGCGCCATCCTCCGTTTCCGGTCTGTCGCTCCTGGGATTATCTAAAAGGGAACTCCTTTGAGGTGGGTTGAAATGGAGGAGGAAGAGAGAGAAAGAGAGTATTTTGTCCTATGCTTTGGTTTCGACCGCATGTAAAGCAGTTCGGGAGCCACGGTCTGCACGCAAATGTTGTGAAACCAGCAATTTTTTAGGACAACTTTTATTGCCCCCTCCCCCTCGCGGGAAAGAAGAGACAGCTCTCTCTTTCTAGAGTTGTTTAGTCGCGCAAGGCAACCGCCGCTCTCCACTATGGATTATGGGCCTTAGTGAGAGGACGACCAATGTCTTGGGTCGCCCACGTGATTGCATGTCGCCTTCGCCGTAGAATCTTCCGCCCGTGGAAAGAAGAGAGTAAAGTATAGAGCTGGGGGATTGAGGAAGAAGGAGGGTTGAAATGGAGGGGAAGACCAGAGGAGGAGCGGGAGAGGTTGAGGGGAGGAGGGGAAGGGGGAGGAGGATGGGGGAAAGAAGGCTAAAGGAGAGGAAGAAAAAGAGGGAGGGTAAGGTGGGAGGTGAGGAGGAAGGATGAAGAAGGGGAGTAGATTTGCCGTGTGGAGGGCTACACACGGAAACCCTCACCTAGTTTGACCTGTCAGTCAAGGCGGTTACTGAAGTGTGATCTCCAGACAGAGCCTAGCTTCGAGAAGCCACAGACGAGAGTTGGGTGCCAGTTAATGGTCGCTAAGTGTGTTCGTACCTGCAACCAAGTGAGCGACCTGCTACGACCTTCACGTGGGTTCACAACAGGCACTACTGCACCCCGTCGGACTGTAAGAGGGTTGGAGGACCCCTCTTCTCTTGTTGTGTAAAACCCTAATCAGGGTAGGTTGCTGTACCGGGATAGTGGTGGTATGCCTACGTGCTGATTTTAGCCGTGCCAGCCACCTCCGCCCCCTCTCGCTTCTGGCCTTCCGAATTCCGTTTTGACGCCATGTCCAGGTTGGAAGGAGGGGGAGGAGAGAGTGGGCTAGATGCAGCGAAAGTCACCGTTCCCCCGCTCGCCCTGTTGAATGGTGGGCATCATCGGTCACGACGGTCGAACTGTCGGTTCTGTTTTCGAGGAAGGCTTTCTGTTAGGTCGGTCGCTGCATGCAGTCCCGGCGTTCCCCAACTGATAGGCCAATAGTGCACGGAAGAGGGACAATGACCGATACTGCGGCCCACCTCATTGCAAGTGGGAACATTTCCGTCTATTATAAGCCAGACGAGCCAGAAACTATCACATGGGTTTGAAAGTTGTCACGGCAGACCCTAGCAATTTCGACTTTCAAGTGGGAAGGGGAGAAGTTAGATGCAAAGACAAGGACTAAGTATATTCGCGGGATAAGAAAATGCCAATTCAAAAGACGAAGATGCGATCACTGGAACAAATTCACCAACGTTTTAAAAATCCTGCATTACTGGTAGACGTATGCATTCCATCTAACATTATTTCGGGTATTTTTTACCACCCGACAGCAGCTGTCCTCTTACTAAAGAATTACGCGTGGGGGTGCAGAGTAATCAATCAGTGTAAACATCTTGGCGGTACCGTATCCTCGGGGCAGTACAGGTGAGCGAATGTCATCCTGCCGACGGAGGGTCGACCAAAAACTCTGCGAAACAGCAGCTCAGAAAAATATGGTGGGCAGTACTCTATGATTTTTATTTTCCCTGGGCATACACTTAATCCTTGCCGACGCCAGTAGAGAGAGAGAGCCCTGGATTTTGTGCCGGGTGGAGGAGAGATATGCCGGGGTTGATTAAAAGCCAGACGAGAAGCGCATGTCCGCTGCTGCCGGATCAGGTGCCCGAGTGTCTCGAGCCAGGACACGTCAGCCATCAGCCTCGAAGTTGGTTGGGCTCTCTGGATTACTGTGATTGGGGGGAGGGAGAAGGGAGGGGAAACCGGACAGGGACGCTCGGTTTCACGGATGCGGTTGGGAGCAGAATACACGGCTTCGATCGTCTCGACTTTGTTTTGCCAGTGAAAGACGGTTGGTGGTGTGGGAGGAAAGTGTGGCGGATGCTGCAGTCTAAATGGATTTGTGAGCAAGTCACCACGACATCGAGCCTCATGAGCAGTGGTTGACTTCGTCACTTGCAACGAACAAACTGTCATGTGTTATATGATTGTATTCCGGTCAACTTGCAGGTGCCACATTCGTGTCGAGCACTATTAATCGTAGAGTTAATTACCTGGCCGGCCATCCTGGGTTATTTAATTCCCATTTTCGTCACATTCGCTGGTACCGGATAATGGGTTCTATTATGCATTAGTGGGGTCTGCCTCGTTTGACCTTACTTAATGTTTAGCCAAGTCTGCCCTCGTGTTTCATCTTGGCGAATAACTGAGGGGTTCGCTCACATCCGTTTAAATAACGACGGTCTACCGTTCAAAGATACTCCTATTAGAACTTGAATGTGATGTCTTTTTAATACCGCCCGACCTGGGGGTTCCTACGTTTGTCCGGATGGACCTTTTTGGAGCCCACAATCACGCCTTCCACACCAGTCCCACCGTATGATACTGGAAATTTTGGTTTTATAGTTAGCAACCAGTCTTTTCAGTTCCTCTTAGACACGAAGATTTGCAAAAAGAACACACTCAGAAGCAGCGGCTCGGAATGCCGAAGAAGCTCTCAAGCAGGACGCTAGGGACTATGACCTTCTCCGACAAGGGTCATTAGGTGCGGACATCAGGACACACTTTCGCTCTACTAAATGGCAGTTTCAAGGTAGAAATGACGTCAAATAAATCAGTAAGCGGTAGAAGAAATCCAGGAAACGAACAGTCAGTACCACGAAGCTCATGATCAGCAGCAAAGTCAAGCTCAGGAGGTACATAGTTTGAGTTGTACCGAGCATGGTCATGGAGCTTTAAAGCAGAAAATATAATGCACAACACATAATCAGAAAAAAGACCGGGATTTGATGTTACCCAAACTTAGACTTTACTCTCTTACTGTTTGTCTTTGGAGTACCGAGTTGGAACGAAGACAATAGAGCCTGACGGAGTTAAGGAAAAAGATGTTAGTTGTGCTCTCCGCGGAGGGAGTAGTTTCACTGACGCTGACTTGAACAACAGCAGGGTCAACGGGCACAACGCAAAATTGTCACGATCAAGATCAAGCATCTACCAGAGCTGACATTGTTCTACCTCATAGCGCGGGATGGGGTCCAACGAGTGTCCGGATCAGACAACGGCAAAACTTCCGCGATTTATCGGACGTGATGCCCGTTGCATCACGTGTTGCGCATTAAAAGTGCCAACAAGTGGACTTATGAGAACCAAAACATCTGTCCGAACCGATTGTAACTGCTGGGGTCCTCGTGTGCCAACTACCAGTCCGTTCACTTCGGTTTCATGTTTACGCAGGATTTGTTAGTACCAGTATCATACTTTCGAGTCCGAGAAGTGGAACACTAAATTGGCGGCCTACAGCGGGGTCACACACTACAGGATCCCGTCCAGAATGGAGGTCGTAAGCAAGTCCGAGGGTGGCCATATGAATTTTCGGATTTTCCTAATGTTTCGTCCCTTAAGGCATCCAGCGATCTGTTCATCTTTCCTTAAAGATCATATACCACAAATGCTGCAGTTTTAGATGGCCTCAACTGGAGGACTCATATATCATGTAACACTGAAGAAAAAGACTGCCTGAATAACGGATGACATGTACGTGTTTCGCAGGGGATAAAATGAAGTCTTGTGAACTTTGCACGAAAAAAGCCTTCAGTAAAGCGCTGATGATGAACTCGCAGGATTGTTCAGCATTTTTTCCTCGTTAGGTCTTCAGTTTGTTCAGGAGAGGGGGGCGGGTGCCAAGTCACCAAGGCCTTCTCAGTAAACCGCCAGGGTATTCACTTTTATGCTTGAATTGTTTGTCGTCGGCAGTGGTTGAACACGGAATAAGTGCGCTAAACTCGAGGGGGACACCTATTCCCGTGTCCCATCTTTGGCCCTAACCCCAACACTAATTTAACCCCGTCTTGGAGTTTAGCATAAGGCCACCAGTAGTAAGGGGGGAGGGGTTGGTACCTACTCCTGTGTCCTACCTCCACACATAAATGCCGAGGCCCATCTGGTTGCTGGGGCATTTTATGGTAAGATGTGGTTATGTAGCCCCACCTGGTGAACACAATACTGCTGACCTACTCAATTATTTTGAGTCGGTGTGATTACGTTGGCATGATGTTGCTAAGCGTTGCGGTGTGTGTTTTGTTGGCGGCCATGTTCCTCTGTTGCCGTGTCTTCCTATTTTGGCCCAATGCCAGTGATCCTTCTTGACTTTCGACCTGTCGTCTCCTTCTCACGTTCGCATAGGATTTTTCAGGGTTAGGGTTCAGGGCTACGGTGAAGGGCTAGGGTTAGGGGTTAGGGTTGGGGGTTAGCGTTAGGGGTTAGGGCAACTAGTTCTCAACCATTCGAAGTACAACCGCACCTCCCAATAGCTTTTCTTTTGCATAAAATTACTTGACCTTGCTGCCTGTGCGTCGTGCAGTCCCAACTGTAAAACCCATATTACCATCAGTCCCGTATTACAGGTGACTGGGGCCTGATTATCTCTGGTGCGGCTACATAAACACATCTGAACCATTTTATAGACGACAGTAAATGAATCTTCTTCAACAGTACTTAGTTTGCACCCCCTGCACTGCGATTGTGAGGCCCTCTGATGCTGACCACTGGTTGCTCTTTTGCAGTCTCCTCCCGTCTAGGCAGCTATCAGTCAGAAGGTCAGCCTTAGCAATGACATTTTTCATTTCGTCATAGTTGCCTGTTTTGTCTAATTAGGCGCAGACGCTTCTAAGGAAACTCTGCCTCCAGACCATGCATTTTTATTGACGTGACTCTGCCCAGAAAGTAAACAAGTAGCCAAATTGCCTATTTTAGAACCGTTTTCTAAGCATCTTCCCTGCAAACAGTTGTTCTTTTGTATCTGACATGCTGTGATCATAAGGTTTTACGTTTGTGGAATATTTACAAGCCTTTTCTGGACAAATACGCGTCCTGACATGAATTCTGACAAATGAAGTTGGCCTACAGTGGGCATTTTTTAAAATTGCTACCCATTACCCATGACGGAGTGCGTGGCCTAGCTGGCTAGTATGTTTGTTATAAACCGTAGCTCAAGTCATCCTTTAACAGAATCAGATCAAGATTCATAAAGCACGACGACAGGTTTTTGGGCAGAAATAGTACTTTGTTCACAGGATCACCATTATATCCGATGAGATGTTAGCACTTACTGCCAATATCCGGGCAGGGTCACTATCAAAATTGCACACTTGTTTGATTTCTGAGTGATTAAGACAGCGTTCTATTTTTTATTCCTCCGACACCGGTAGAAGTGTTGACTTCATTTGGAATATTATTTTCTAAATTTGTTGCGGCTATCATAAAAGTTCTAAAGATGGGTTACTTGGCCCCTCCTCTCTCTCCCACGTGAAAACTGTGGGCAGACATAAACAAAAAAGATGAGTTTTAGTATACAAGCGACAAAATAGCTGTTTAACGGAGATAACGTTAGGTGGAAGGGTTAAATGACGGGTTCTGAGGAACGTAAAAACTCTGGGTAGGACTGTTGAATACTGGAAAATTCATTCCAATGAAGGTAACCAACCACGCTTACTCCCTTTCAATGATTCTATACTCGGAGCAGGGTATTTACAGTTTGCAAAAGTTGGCACAACACTCCTGTTCGTTGTGATGAAAAGTGGACGGCCTCCGTTCGAAGGTGCAAAATTCAGGGACTAGTTTTCGATGACTTGCTTCCCTTTTGTGCACCAAGTCTGTTGGGTTTTACAGCGAAGAGGATTTCATAAACCCCGGTTTAAATCAACCGACCAAACGATTTCTTTCAGTCGTGTACAATGGGGCTGTACTTTGAATAATAGATTGCTTTGTGGATTTTTCACGAAGTTTCACTGGAACACCGAGGTCCTTGAATTCTGCCAGCAGACAAAGGATGAGTTACCACAGACACATGTTCCTGAGTCAGGAAGATTGCGAAAATTGCATCCCAAAAATACCTAGTGAAATGGTCTACCTCAGAATTTCTAAACGTCTCGAAACATTTGCCAAGTCCTTTATTTAACTGTCCCGTACCATGACCTACTTAGGACTGCCGAAACAATGATATGCATGGCGGAATATAGGTATGGCTCTCTACGGTCTATTATGATAAACTCCCAATGATATAGCCCTAGCGCAAACACGAACCCTTCCTTAAAGATGTCTGTACGTGTCTGGTGTGTGCTCCACAATATTGCTTAATGTCCATACGAAGTTTGCCGTCACGCCAGGAAAAGAGTTATAAAGTGCACGTCTTTAAGTCATTTTGAAGGAAGGTATTTTATTTTGTTTTTAAGGACAAAATATCCCAAAAGTGTAAAATATCACAAAGAGGTCATTTGAAGTTTGCTAAATTTAATCAAAACACTACCGGCAAAGACAAATAAGACTGGGATGGTCCTTACGGGCTTATTAGCCGTCGCCAGCCAGCTATACCCAATCCCTAGGTATGGGACACCTGGGGCTCGATCCCGCGACCTGTTGGTTAGAAGTCCAACGCCTCTATCCACGGAGTCACGGGCTCGTTGTCCTGTCGGTTGCAATTGGAAATATACAATAGTGAAGGAGCGCTCACATGTCGTGTTACGAAACTCACTCGTTCCGTTGTTGCACACCTCGGAGCTGGGTATGGTTGGCTGACGATGGCTAATAAGCCAGAAATGAACATTATAGTCCCCCTAGACTTCGTCGGTAATGTTACACGGTCTCTGTTACGCGCCGCTGTTCGGCTACTGACTGGGCTCGAGAATGAGCTCGTAGGCAAAACGGGACGAGTGAGTTCCGTAAAAACGTTCGGTGAGTGCCGCTCTACCAACTTCAGGCATCTCTGATGGAGGCAATAAAAATCTGGACTTCCAATCGCAACCTCGTGCATATTTTATTAGCAGTCAGAAACTGTGATCTTCGCTGGTCTAATCCAAAGTCTGTAGAGAATTACAGTTTCTGCTGGTGTCAACTTTAATTCATGGCTGTCTGTCCACCAACTTTGCTCTTGTGGGGGACCTTATTTGAAGGAGTGTGTGAAAACAGTGGGCATCTCGGCTCTGGGCTTTCTTACACACGGGAACTGCCTTGTATTAACGATTTTTATCATATATAGTCAGTACTTGAGCAAGTCGCAACGGCAAATTGAGATCCAAGAAGACTAAATGGAATTTAAAGTCGGGCCGTGGCGCCCTAACACGATACTCAAGCATACTGTGTATGCTCGGAATAGACATGTGCAACAAACCGTATCAAAGTCCCAAATTTACAGACTGTTAATTAAAAGACGGACAACAAATAGTACTTAATGAGCGCATACTAGCCACCTAATCCCGGACACCGACTGCATCTAGTCGACCTCGCTTAGCAAATGAAGTTATAGATACTTTGGTGTTTCTCCTGAATGCTCCCATTATTGCACCGGATCATCCTGACGGACCTTCGCCCGAAACGCCTGTTTCCCCATTACTGCGAATAAACCAACTCCAGTGATTGAAGTAGAGTACGAGTTGAACTCTTGAACCTTATGACCCATGGCAGGCCAAGCCTGCTTGGTAAAATTAAAATCCGAGGATCTTCATCACTGCGAAGACGACAGAGTTGACTTACAACGTCATGGAGACCTTCCAACCATGGGCACAGCTATCATTGTTCTGTGGGATGCAAATCACCATATGTCTGAAAGTGTTAGTTTCTCCGTTAACAATATTATTCTGCGAAACTTAGCGCCACAACCTGGACGAAGATGAGGGTTTTATGGATTCGGCTGTCTATATTGCTGAGAAAATCCATTCAAACGTTTCGTCTGAGTCTCCCTCGTCGACGTAGAAGAAGTAACACAAGGCACTGACCGACGCTATGCATACCAAGGACAGTCGATGTGTTACTTGCAGTCTATGGAATCCCAGGGAGGTATCGACCGTCGACAGAAAGATGACATGTCATATTATGGGAAATCTATAAGTTTTCTCATGAATGGGTGTGATGCCTGAGCTACACACGTATTGTGATCAAGGGAGGAAAAGGTTGCCTAAATCTTTAAAACGAGTCAAGAATTCAACTTTGTGGCCGCCAAAATAATTGCCCGTGCCAGAAACAAGACAAACCGAGAATTCAGTGAAGCCTGGACCTCGGATGAGAACTCAGTCAACCGACGTATCGAACAGACGCCGGCACAAAGAGCCCTGTACGGTCGCCCCCCAGATCAGCAGCACTGATAGGTGATTGGCTAAAGCCCCCTGTAACTGTCGCTCGTTCTGTTACTGTTGTCAACCCGGACGATGGACTCCTGTGTGGGTTCCAAAGCTCAGAGCAATATGATTTATTGTATTTCACGAAACTACATTTTGTACTGCAGTGTTTCCATCAGCCATGTTTACGGGTCAGTAATTGTTCCACTGTGCCACAGTTAGACAAATGAAGGCGTTTGCCTCCTGGCGGAACTACTTGGTGGAGCCTCCCTATACACGTTGATCCTCATTAGTCGAAGTGAAATTCCTTGTAAATATATTCAGCTTCATGTAAAGAATTGTGACATATAGGTCCCCTTTACCCAACTGCTGATGCATGTCATTTTCTTTCCCTTGGCGTGTTATCCCCACATCCGTTCAAACCTTACATCGTCATAGCAAGAACAGTATTTAAAATTTGACAAAAAGTTCATCTGCCTCTCTTCATCTATTGGGTCATCAATCATCCCTTACTTGGATAAACTAGTCCGGCATCTCGCACGCACTATCCTCATGCAGGCAGGCCATAACTTTTCGTCAAAGCTGAAAATTCTCCATGTATCAATAGGGACGGACGATCAGGCCGAAAAGCCTTTTGATGTCGCTGCAGCAAGTAATCGATAGTCTTTGAAGTCATCAGTTGTTTTAATATTAGGAAAACTGCTCTACAACGGCGGACGCCATAAAATGGGACAGAGACTAAAATAAGGCATTTTATTCGCCCTCTGGCAGCATGAAGAACTTCAAACCAAGGGGAAGGATTTCCTCTATAGTTAACTGTAGTTATGCTTTGAAGACAATTACTAGACCACGATAACGTTGCTGGGGTTCAAATAGGGCCTGTTTGAGGGGATAAAATTGTACAGCAAATTTTATGTCTTCAAGGCCCTAATCATTCACAACACCCATGTAAAGGGAACATTTATCTTCTTTGATTTACGGTCTCTGTTCTCGGTTACATTTATGTTTCTTAGTGCTCCTAAAGTCCTTTTAGGCTTAAATTTGGCCATTTCAAGGTCCTCGAAAATTTCAATGTTGATGTGTAATCCAAATGACCTTAAAAAGTTCTTATGGCTGCGTTTCGCCTAAATCCTCATTCCGAACTTTTGTGTCCGTCGTAGTTGCATGTTACGTTCGTCAGGTCACTGGCCAACATTAGCCCGGTGGAATTTACGTCCATGTATTATGTTTACAGGTTAAAGTAGCCGTATGCAGAGTGTATATGCCTTTAAAGAGCTCGCGGCCTCTATTTTTAGGTCAAAAGGGTTTAAAGCTGGTTGGCTTGAAAGTTGCGAAGAACGATACAGGATCGTCGGAAAAGGTTTTATTCGCCTGACGTTTCGAATTCATACTTGAATTTACTATTATAAACTGCACCAGATAAAGACATTGTGTGCCCAAATTCTCCAAAATTTATGGGATATGATCTAATGTCACTAACACACTTACAACCACGATTAACGGCCCCATACTTATTGAAGTTGGCAGGAGTTAATTTGATGACTGTATGCTTGTCCGCAGCCGATTGGCTAATTGCCATAATTTTATCAGTCGCGTTGTTTATAGGTGTGATAACTGTTCTGCCATTTAGCTAATCGACACAGGTATTTGGGGCAGTGCTCGCCAGCGCGCGCTCTCCACGTGGTTGATTACCCTGCCCTGGCAAAGTCTCAGCAGAAAGTACGGAGGGGAGATAATTGCGCTTGTTAATCGAATGTCAGCCAGAGAATCGTGGCTCACGCGGCTATCGCTTCTGGTGAGAATTTCATTGCTGAACTTCAGCGTGTGACTGGGTTCCATCGAATGAGCAAGACCTTGGAGGCTGGCGCCTTATCTCCCCACTGCCGCCGCTGAGTACCTCACGATCAACGTCTGGAGTATTTCTCTGGTTTTTCTGCCGTAGATGCTTCGCTAGCAGCCGCACCAGATTGGGTAAACGACCCTGGCCCCATGACCTGGCGCCAGGTGGTGGTTTCCGTTCTGGGTGCAATCCCGACCCCAAGGAGTGTGAGAGGCCGGACAACGACTTCCGAGATGTCCTGATGCATAAGAACGCTCACTAAAACTTGGGCCAGTTGGACAGGATCTCTCGTCTAGTTTTTGTATGCACTAGTTGACGGAGTTGCATGAGTAACCATTCGTCCCGTGCACTCGTCAAAGTTATTGTAATTTGGCAACCTTGACGTTCGTTTCACTGCAGCGCGTTTCAACACGCCGATATGGTAGCATTACGCAACTGTGTTTGTGGCTGATTCAGCAATTGTTGGTGAAGCCCCGTACTGGTGTTGTACTTGAGTCATATTTTTGGTTTTTGAAAAAAAAACTGGCTGACCCAGACAAAGCATATCCAAAGTTACCAACGCAGTATCCGAAGATTACAATCTCTACGTTTTTGATTATGGTGCCGGGAATCACAGCAACTATGCCATTTGCAACACTCCAAACCACACTTCCGTAATGCTGGAGGGTGGGCGGTGGCCGGTTTTATCGGTCACCATCATTAATGTTTCCTTCCGTGCGCGTTTTTTTACTGGTCATGGAGGCAAGCTACGTTGCTCTCACTGGTGAGATCTACTAACAGCACAGAAACCCCGACAATCCCTGAGTATCCTGTCCCAATATCCGGAGAAGCAGTATGACCATGTGCTTCAAATCTGGGAAGGCGCAGACTGTCATTTTCAAGGGAGAATAAAGAAAATTAGAGTAAATTTTTAAAAAGTGCCATCATGTCTAATCTGCGTGTGAGCCGTTGCCGTATATTTTCACATGACGCTGCGGCATGCCAGGATAAATTATTGCCCACTTGAGTAAATGCCTTTAAGAGAAAAGTTTACGAGGGTTTTAAGGAGGCTGGCCAGCAACCAATATTTTCTTCTTTGACCACTGAGACGATAGTTATCTGCAGTTTCAACTCGAGCATTCGCAGTCTCTCGCTCCCTCTCAGCCGGAAACAAGGACAAAATCCCATTTCAGGGTTTCTTTGTCACTGCCTGTTTTGGTGGAACAAGTTCAGTGAATCAGACGGTCTTTTTAAGAAAATCCCTTTTGCAGGTTTGACTGGAAGGGGTTGAAACGATGTCTGTTTCCGCCTCCATCCGGACATCGGTATAGGTCATCGGATGGGGGTTAGGTATGTATTTAGCGAGATCCATCGGATGTTGGTTTGCCATTTCCGATAGCAGCAACTGCCAAACCTATTGACAATGGAAACGGCAATCGTCTGTCTAGGATGCTCAGTTATCTACGCAAAGGACCACACTGTCCGAGTCCTGCGCCAAGTACACGGTCGCCTAACAACAGCGTGGCTCACCTGCTTTGGTGCGTGCTTTCCACTCTCATTTGTTCTGACACCCTTCTCCCCGGTCCTTTGTTCCCATCCACCATTCCCTACTGACCTTATAAGCTCTAATTGATCATGGATGCGTGTCAATCTGGATTCAAAGAATCAAACCATTTATGCAACTGCAATGTCCCGACGAAGAGGATTTAACGGGTCGCGTGAAGTGACGTCCTCCTGTCTCGTCTGCTTGCTGGACTGAATGTAGGCGGTTTACTCTCGCCCTGCACTCCTACCTAGAGCCCACACCGCCTATCTCAGTGGCAGGTGCAGACAATAAGTAGTGCTCCTATAAACGGATGAGTTTTTCGGCAACGGTATAGAGAAGGACCCCACTTAACTGTCAGTAGACTGTGGGTCGTATCGTATGGAGTTTTATCTTGGCATACGTTCGCAGGCCGTTGCAGAAATTACACCGCCAACAACGATTACCTCCTACGACCTCACACCATGATTAAAAATCCGCTATTTTATGAAAGCCAATTTTCGTTCATTGTTTAATTACTACTCTCATTTCCGTTGTCGTACAATAGCGTAGGATAAGACTTTCGGCATAAATTCGGGCAATTTTTGTATTTTTTCATTTTGTCAGCATAGTATCTAGCGTGCTGCCCCACCCATAAAACTCCCTTTACCATAGCTCACGCATGGCCCGATCCACAGTCTGCTGACAGTTAAGTGGGGTCCTTCTCCATACCGTCGCCGTTTATTCAATTTCGAAATCAGAATAGATGCGGCACGCCGCCACAATATGCCTTTTTTGGGGGCGGGGGGGGGAGATCCCATCGTTCAGTGGCAGAGAGTCTAGTTCAGTGGCGAAGGAATGCAGAAAAAAGACGACAGTTCTGTTGGCCTTGGTACTACCGGCTGAAAACTAAAAATAAGTCAGAAAGGTCTGTTTTAATGCCTTCCGCCGACATATGTCGGACAGATTAGGTTTATCACGCACTGAGTTCCTGCGGTCGGCGGAAGTGGACCAGTCAGTAGTGATGCCAGAGTACGTACCTGAAAGCGCTATGCAAGCACAACCAACTGACCATGTGTTCGTGCTTCTAGATAAAAAGATTACATATAAACATGGGATGAGAAAGTTCTAAATTAGGCAGAG